CCTTTCACCTTCCCCCCCCCCCCCCCCCCAAAAAAAAAGTATCATTCAACATAAATTCCCGGAAGCCTTTAGGTACGAGGACACTTGCAAGTTTAGGAGTCCTTAATGCGATACTAAGAATTTCTAGCTAAGAGAGAGCCTGAAATTTCACTTTCCTAAAAAAAAAATAGCCTGAAAACTTGTTTTTCCATTAAAAAAATTTTTAGGAATTCGCTTACAATCACGAAAAATTCTCAATTATCTAGGCGAATATTGTCTGCTTAAAGTAGCTCCCAAACTCTCACTCTCTCGTGTTGCTCTCGGAGCGCAAACAAGAAGGAAGAGACTGAAGAAGAGCATGAAGAAGAGCATGAAGAAGAGCCTAAAGAAGAGCATGGAGTTCTCCCGTCTCTTTGCCGTCATAGTGAGTTTCAATCATAATTTCCTTATCTACAGTGATATTCCTCGCGATGCAGTTCATTTTGAGTGCTCGCGATCGAAGGAGACCACCCCCATCAAACAAGATTCTCGTTACAGAAGATCCTCATTAGCGTGCCCACCAAGTGAACGAGGCTTCTCTCACAGCTGTCAGAGGACTCAGATCGCAGCTCGTTTTCCGAGTGATTTTGCCTGCACTACATAGACGGTACCAGATGAAAGAAAATGATGGCTAGGTGAAAGTAGTAGATCTGCGAGGAGAATCGCTCTCTAGAAAAAATACCTGCCGACATTCTAAGTGCCTCAAGGTAACCAAATGCCGGTAAAACGAGACGAAACTTGCATAATCGACCTGGGAGAGCATACGACTAGGGAGAACTAAAGAGAAAGAGCTTTGGACAGGGACTGACAGTTTTGCACTTGCAGAGGCTCGGCCGTCTCGTCGTGGCGTTCGACTGCCTGTGATTCGGCGGAGTCTTTTGTAGCAATATAAATTTGGATTTGGAGGACATCTTCCTTGCAAATTCAGGCCTGCTTTCGTCAATCCCACACGAAGAGAGAAGCTAGGAAAATTCCAACTCCCATACCTCGACAAAATTTAAATATGAATAAAAGGCTTCATGGGTCACGTATGCCACATAGAATTCGAGAAGAGACACAGACGCACGTCATCGGATTTCAAAGGGATAAAAGATTCACTATCGGAATCGCACGGGTAGAAACACGCGAAGAAACACGCGTCAACCATCGGTTAGACTCACTTCCTTCCGATTCAGCGAAAATAAAAACAACTAAATTTTTTTTCCGGCAGGTGAGTGCACTCTTCCTCCTGATGGTGCAGTTCACGGTGGGTCACCCCTATCGAGTGGATCCCAACGGTCTTCGATTCAAAAGAAGCGCGTGAGTTTACTCGCAACAGTCGCGGTCTTGCTGTCATTCGACAAAGAATATTTACGCTTAAATTTATAGAACCATTGACAATAACTCTCAAAAGCATTTGTTTTTAGAAATATAAGTTTTTTCATAAAAACCATGTTCCAACCACTCCACGATCCGCGATGAGAAAAAAAAAATCAAAACAACGTTTGTGTGTCCATGGGCGTCGATTTGTTTGGAATGGTTACTTCTGAGGTAAAAAATACACATTGTAAGGTAGAGCGTATTCATACTTAGGCGACAAAATAATGTCACAATCACTTCAGTCCAGAGCCTTTCATTCGCGAGGAATGGACTACAAGAAGCGCATCTTTGAGCGAATGTGAAAACCCAGCTTCCAATACCTTGGTTCTCACTGATCATGAACGGATGGTTAATTATATCAGAGATTCTGAGGGTGAATCATGAAAAAACTTTCATGAGTCACTCGAATCCCTGAGGATTAAAATCATGTGAGGACACGTGAGATGTCTAGAACTAAGACCAGACGAGTTTTGCTCTTGATCGATACATCGCATCTCTTCCCTGTATCATCACTCCTTACACAACTGATTTTTCTTCTAAACAGATTTTGCAGTGATTTTGTAGAAACAAGAGCTCCCCCCCCCCCCTGAACACCTGTGACATTTCCGTCCCCACAGAATGCCTCATGCGGATGCACATCCCTACCCGTACGCGTATCCGTTCGCGGATGCACACCCAAATGCACTGTACGGCGACCCGCCGGGAGGGAGGGCGAGGAAACACAATTATCCGTGGACTCAGCGGCAAAACGGCGAGCGGACCGCCTGACCCGAGGACCGAGGGACGTCGTCGATGAAGAACAAGCTCCCCCACCCGTCTACGACATGCACAGTCGAGTCCCTTCTTGGGGACCTCGACGGAACGAATTTTTTTCACTTCTCTCTTTCTTTACTTCGATCGCCTCCTATCTGCCTCCTTTCGATTTCGTATTTGAATAAACTGCATGCAAAATAACTGGGTCGTCTGCCTGCGTATGACAGTGAGAAAGGGAACGTGAGAATTCCCGCTCTATGCGACCCTCCAATTTTCTCTCGTATCGCATTTCGAGAAGATCCGAGGGCGAGAAGCTGCGTATCGGCTCTATTGAACCATAGCGGCTGCGGTTCGATAGAGCCGATACGAAGTCGATCCTCGATCGCACGTGACGACCTTTTTCCGCCGGCAGAATCGACACGAGAAATCCCTCCCATCGAACCCCAAAGTCGACTTTTCGAACCTGGAGTTCGCGGAGTTCCTGGTCCAGCTCGTCTTGGGAATCGTCGACGGACCTCTTCCGGCGGCGTCGGGTCGTCAGCATGATGCTCAGCGTGACCGGGTTGGCGATCACGGCTGCTGCCGTCGCCAGGAACGCGATTCCGGCCAACGGCGCCACCACCAGCGTCAACGGCGCCAACGATTTCCCTGCCGTGAGATTCCGGGACGGAGAATCAACGCTTGGCGTCGAGGATCCAAAAATTATTCATATAATTTTAAGACTTCTCACGAGTTAGCAAGCGTTTTGTCACGTGACATTTACGAAAGGCAATTCTATCAATTCAATATACGGAATTTTCCAAGTTTGGAGTTTTTTTTATTTTGTCAGCAAAAGTTTTTTGGCTAATTTTTTAACCATGTCAAAAGGGTTTTTCCCCCTTACGGTATTCATCATGCTTATGAAAATACAAAAATGAAGACCCTCTACAAGAAGGAAAATGAGTACTGATAAGAAAATGAGATCCCCTTCCCCCAACCCCATTCTTCCCCCTCCCCCCCCAATTCCCCCCCCCCCCCCTTCCCCTACCCCTTCTTTCCTCTGCGAAGGAATTGGTCTATAATGACCCAATTATCTCTTCAAAAGTCAAGGGTAAAGTTGTTATTCCCCATCAGTCCGTTGCGACATTGATCCGATTCATCTTTCTCTTTCACGGCTGTGGACCCTTCCAATGGAAAGGATCTGTCTTGGGAAGGAACTCCATTAAAGAGAGAGATTATGCACGGGAATTAGGGCTTGGAATCTGATTAACACTCTCAGTTCGTTGCAACATTTCTAATCTGCATGAAAATATTCGCGACGGAAAAAAGAATCTCTTGCGTCAGTCAGCGCCTGTCGCCAAGCCGACAGTCGGCTTGGCCACTTCGCAAGAACTGTCACGGTGTGACCGTCACGGGAGAAACTGTCGATTCTGGGAAAAATTAGACTCAAAATTTTCAATTGAAAACTGGCATCCGTCATCTACCGCAATCGTGTACTCCACAAGTCGAAGGGCACTTATGGAAATTACGACTGAAACGTGTAAATTCCCTTTAGGTTGCATCGTTGTGTCGTCTCACTGCAAGAACATTTGAAACCGATAATTAATAATAATTATTGATGAGCGTGGATGGGACTCACCGTAGGAGTAAGAATAGCTCGGGGGCGAATAGGAGGAATAAGACGGACTGCCATCGCGGCTGCTCACGTAATCCGCGTAGTGACTTCGCCCGAATTTCTCCTTGATTCGATCCAGGAAGCCTTTTCTTTCGGGGTAGTCGCGGTACCTGTACTCTGGGTACTCGTATCCGAAGGAGGGGAGCACCGACACACAGAGCAGTAGAAATGTACCTTTCTTCAGGAGACACATCTTCGCTTGTCCTGTTGCAAACGAAAGAGGGTGAACGAGGATTCCCTCGAACCGTCGGGCGTCGAAGACGAAACCGAGAGAGAAACGATTTTAGGCTGAGGAAATTTTTCTAAATAAATTCAATCGAGGAGTCCACGGACGAGGAAACGTCTCGAAAAATCTGAAAACGGCTCCACGACTCGATCGATTCCACACAACCAGCCGAGAGAGCGGGGAATGGGGAAAAAAAAGTGGAAAACGAGGAATTAGGGGGAATTTGGGGTCGTGGACTCCCATCTCCCAGCTGTCCCGGCCGCAAGAGTCAACTGGTCGCAGCCGACGAGTCTGTCAGGTGGCGAACGGAGTTTTAAATTGGTCGGGCCCGTTACGTGCGTTTCGTCTTGAGTTTCGGTGGGCGGCGTTGACATACTTGATGATTTCGTCGCGTTTACGTTGGGGAATCCCCGATTCTGCGAGGAGTTAGAGATGCTGAGATATGAGATTCGGGAGGAAAATCTTCCAAAGATTTCAAAATGAACTTTCCGGCCTGCCGTTTGTCGTTCGAGATGCGAACGACCTTTCGCGACTACGCCATGCCTGTGCTGATCAATCACGATGGAACGAGAAATTAATACGATTCTTCCTCACGAAGAACATTACTCCCGCTTCATCGAGCACGGTGAGCTTCGACTGAAGAAAAGCGCATCATTTTAAATGATGGCTTGTCCCGTCCTGTCGTGCATGACCCATTCTTTACGCTTCATTTTGGCAGACTTTCGCAGATTTTTTTTTCGAGAGGAAACGTTGGGAGTGAAGGTGCTCGAACTTTTTTTAAAATGCAATTGGGATTTTTTTTCCGAATGTGAAGCCAGCAGAGTCTCAAGTGCGAAGTGAGAGGAGTCCGTGTGATTACGGGAATTCTTCGGGGTTGTCAAGGGGATTCGGTCACCCTGTTTGTCGATTGTTGCTGCAATCGCATTTCGCTTATTTTATTTTGTGGTGCTTGTTTTAACCCTCTCCCAGGACCGGAACACTAACAAATAATATTTTTTTAAATTCCAAACCCCACTGTTCAAAAGTTAAGTAAGAATCGCATGGGATCGTGAAGCGAAGAAAAAAGAATAAGAATGTCGGAGTCCACGTCAACAAACGTGTCCACAGGAAAACAAAGCATTTGATAATGTGCTGAAGAACCATATAATCTCCGATAGGAGGAAAACACTGCGTGTCGAGGCGCACATTTTCATTGCTACCGGTCACAGAAATATATTAACGTTATTTTCTTATCTAACTAATCGATTTCACGCTGTCAGTCCTCTGAATTTCGCGTTCTGATCATCCTGTGCAGGAACTCAACCGTAGATGAGGATGGACATCTTCCCATTCGGCACGATGACGTTGTCGACATCGAAAAAATGTTAAAATGTTGAGAAATCGCTGAGTTCGCCAAATCAACGGTAATAAAATGTCAACTATTCCCAATTAATCGCATTTTCAGCATATAAAGACGACTCTTGCATTAGCGAATTCGTTCGGAGGCTATCAAGTGAAAATTCGTTTTTCGTGCTTTCCTTCACCACAGTCTCAATGTCGTTTTAATACGAGGTCCACGTCGACTCGAAGAACCGATAACGACATTGCGGCTACGTTAGATCATGAGCACATTCTCGACAGATAATGGGTTCTACCAACCGACGCAAGATGGCGTTTAACAGTCGATTCAGCGATTCATATACGGCGAAGCATATAGGGCTGTAAGATGATGCTGAATGCTTTCGTCAAGGTCGAAAATCGAAATGTGAAAAAAGAGCATGAATAAGGAAACGGGTTTTTCATCCGAGATAAGAAGAAAAGAGAGTGGAGTCTCCTTAATGCTTTTTCTCACAACCGACCTTATCCGTTCCTCATTATATAATAGGGATATGAAATACGATAGCCCAGCAGATTCCCAGATATATATTTTTTAACCATCGGTTTAAGTTGAGCCAATGAAGTAGTATGAAAACCATTCTTTCCAAGGCCCTTTCTTCAATCACCCACTTTAAGAGACCCACTTACGTTAGGCCTCGGCCTTACCCACGGAATGTCTTCAGGTCAGGCCAAGGCCTACCTTCATTCCTTCAAAAGAATCTCAACTCTCGACTTACGAGGACAATTCGGCCCACAAGGGTCACTTTCGGTGTCTTCGAGACATCTCGGTGAGGAAGTGAAACGTTAGGCCTACCAGGAGTTCCTCGAACCATCTCGATGAGGTCTGTGGAGAGCATCCGAATTCCAATGCCTATTGGACGCCATCCTGTTAGTTCAGGGATGTCCGTGCACGATATTTTCATATCCCACTATTTTGATCAGCAACTGTTAATCACCTTTTTCGATTTCAGTTCATCCCATGGTTTCAGTACCAAAATGTCTCACATTAAAAAACAGAAGATCCAGGCATTGATACGAAGGTTGAAGCGGTCAGGAATCCGACATAACTCTGGGCGCGATATCCAGCAACACTGGGTGACGGGACTGGAGCCATAGCCTAAATGAACGACTGCTAATTTCCTTTTTTATTATAGCGAACTGATGCATCGCAAACAACAAGAAGTCACTTTTCGTGATCTACAAGTGAATATATTTCTACTGGTTGGTCTATTTCCTCCGAAATCCCCCCAGGAGTGATATAAAGAAGTGATATTTCTTTATATCACCCGGGGTGATATAAAGAAATATGGAATGAAATTCACATCATAAAGCGAGATAGGATGCTCTTCGCAACCGAGCTTCAAATTTGTTGGAGCGATTCTGTGTTTAGAGAGTAAGAAGCATGCACAATTTCGTTCCTCTAGATCAGGGGTCGGGAACCTTTTTGGCCACGTGAGCCATATTAAGATTGAGCTAAGTGCTTGGGAGCGAAAGATTTTCAGAACAACAGAATTTTTCCTGAAGTTGGTAACAGAAATATGTATTCTTTGATACATTAGAATAACATGAGGAAAAATCATGATTTTCAACCATGACTCGATGAGCCAAACTTTTCGGCTCATGAGCCATAGGTTCCCGACTCCTGCTCCGGATACTCTCAGAGAGGAATAAGAGGAGGTTGAATTTTGCTACGGGAAAGGATTGAAGAAAGGGCATGGGCACTACCAAAGCCTATTGATTTTCGCTATATTCAGTGATTTCCAGACCTCGACTCGTATTATGAAAATTAACTCGGACTGTAGAGAGACTTTATATTCGAGTGTGGAAATGTAAAATATTCCCAATTGCAGAACGAACTGTGAGTAACGAGGGTG